GGAAATATACACACACACACATAAAAAATTTTTTTTACATTTATATTTTTTCATTTTTTTAACATTTTTTGTTTTTTTTTTTAAATAATATTTTATTATCTTACATTATTTTGTTGTTGTTTTATAGTTTTAATTATCTTATTTAATTTTATAATTGTATGCAAAATTTATTATTTATAATTTTTTCTACACAGAACAAAAAAAAAAAAAATTTAAATTTTTTTTTGTCTCTCAATAAAATCTTTTATGTTTTTTAATTTTTTTAAAAATAAATTAATGATAATGTGAATGATAATGGAAAAACTATATCATTATTATTATATACAAGATGAATTTTTAAGAGTTAAAAATTGTAATCCAGACAAACTAATACATTATTTAAATTTTAATTAAAAGAAAGTAAAAGATACATTTACTTTTTTTTTTTATTTAATGGATTTTTTTAAAAATGATTACTTATGAAAAATAAATGTTTGATAATGATTAAAAATTAAATTTTTATAATTCATTTTATTATTATTTGAAATAATTTATTATTAATTAAATAAAACTCTTTTAAAATTTGATTACCCCTTTTTCAGACTTCTTCATCTTGATCGTAAATTTTTAATACTCGATTATCGTTAATGTTAAAATTTAGAATTAAAAAACCTGCCTGTAAATTTATATTTTTAATATATTGTTTGTGTAAAATAAATCTATCATCGTCAATAGAATTAATGTAAACTAAACATCATTTTATAAAATTTTTATGTTTTTTTTCAATGTCCCCATTCCCCTAGAAAAGAATGTAAATTTAAAAAATTAACGCTTTTCCACCGCCTTTTAAAAAAAAAAAAAAAATTTATTTGAAAAAAAAATCATAGCGTAAAATTTTCAAAAACTTTCAGCCACGAGAATTTTTTATTACTCTATGAAAAAAATATGTTACAAGTTCTTCTTTACCCGTGTTTCGATAAGAATTTGTAGATATTTATTTTAAGAAATTAAAAAACTTTATGCCGATTTCTTGAAAAAAAAAAATTTAAATGGAGTTATTTGGTGAAAGAGTTGACGATATAGAAGATTTAATTGTGAGTCGTGATTCAGCTCCAAAACCTAACCGAACCAAGATAACCTATCGTTCTAAAAAAGTTAAGAAAGATGAATATGTTCAACCTGTTATTTACGATAATCCAATACCTGAATCGCACAAAATATACATCAAAACGTGGGGTTGCACTCACAACAGTTCTGATAGTGAATACATGGCCGGATTATTATCTTCTTATGGTTATAATTTAGTCGAAGATCCTGAAATAGCCGATTTATGGTTATTAAATAGTTGTACAGTTAAAAATCCGGCAGAATCTCATTTTAGAAATGAAATTGAAAAAGGTAGAAAACTCGGAAAGCACATAGTTGCAGCTGGATGTGTGCCTCAAGGTGCTCCCAAACAAAATTATATACAAAACTTAAGTATTATTGGAATTCACAACATTGATAGGGTGGTAGAAGTTGTTGAAGAAACATTAAAAGGTCATTCTGTTAGATTACTATCGCAAAAAAAAGAAAATGGTAAAAAATTAGGAGGAGCTAATTTATTGTTACCAAAGGTTAGAAAAAATCCTTATATTGAAATTATACCCATAAGCACTGGTTGCCTTAATCAATGCACTTATTGCAAAACAAAACATGCTAGAGGAGAACTTGGAAGTTATCCTGTCGAAGAAATTGTTGAAAGAGCTAAACAAGCATTTTCTGAAGGAGTTGTTGAATTATGGCTGACATCAGAGGATACTGGAGCCTATGGAAAAGACATAGGAGCATCACTACCTGAGTTATTATGGAAAGTTGTTGAAGTAATTCCAGATAATTGTAGAATGAGAGTAGGAATGACAAATCCACCTTACATATTAGAACATTTGGAAGAAATGGCAAAAATATTAAATCATGAAAAGGTTTATAGCTTTCTTCATGTACCAGTACAATCAGGATCAGATGCAGTTTTAAGTGATATGAAAAGAGAATATACTATATCTGATTTCAAACATGTCGTCGACTTTTTAAGGCTCAGGTACTTAAAATTTTTTTTTAATTTTTTTTTTTAAAAGGAAAGAATTAAAAAAAAAAAAAAAACTTGTTTTAGGGTTCCTGGAATAACTATTGCCACAGATATTATTTGTGGGTTTCCAACAGAAACAGAAAAAGATTTCGAAGAAACTCTTTCCCTATGTGAAACATATAAATTTCCATCATTATTCATTAATCAATTTTACCCAAGACCTGGAACTCCAGCTGCTAAAATGGTTAAAGTTCCTATGCATGAAGTCAAGCAAAGAACTAAAAAACTTGCAGATTTATTTCACAGTTATGAAACTTATTCGAAA